TCAGAAGGAAGACGGGATGGCCATTAAATGCGACGGCCGCCCGCAGATGTGTGGTTGGCTAACATGATCAGTCTATCGTGTTCAGGGATTTGCAGCTGACTGTCGAGTTCGTGTTGGATGGAGGTGAAATAAATTGTCTTTAAAGTGGCTCAGAATCGATTGGCATGTTGAGGGCCTTCACCTTCCGTCCGTTGTGTTTAAAAAGGGGGCAGCGATACAATGACATTCAACGTAGCCCAACGCAGAATAGTGGTAGTATAAGTGAAGAGTTGTGATTAATAGGTGGATTGTGAGTTGCAGAACTGGATGCGCACCCCTTCATAATGCGCGTCCAAATATACATGAGGGTCGCACCTGAGTGTCCAGCCCATAAATTATCGCGCACGCTTAATTAATTTCCATTTCAATTAAAGGGATAGTCGCACTCTAGGACGTGCATGAACACGAGTGATATGATACATACATGCCGTATTGTTGACTATGGTAATGGGCGATGCCGATCCCCAGTGGTTTTCGTAGACGGGAGACTGCCACACCGCCAATGTTAGGCAGCGCACGCCATAATTGCCATATCTTCGGCACCAATTGAGTGTAAATTGACCCTGAAAACTATGCTGTTTTTTCTGACCTCCAGTTCACGACGGATACCCAAAACAACAAGAAAAAAACTACCGTTTCTAGACGTTTTCATGCATCGAAAACGCAATAGGAACCTCAGAGCGGCCATGTTTATGTAGGTCGCCAATGGGCACCATCTCCTAAGCTACCATGGCAAACATTCGACATGCCACAAGCGCAATTGTTTAAGAACGCTGTAAAAAGGGTCCGAAAACTTTGGAGTGAGCCGCACGACTCGAAATCTAAAATGCAATTAATCTAGCGTCTCTTAATCGGCAACGGTTACCCTCGAACATATAACGAACGCGTCAGACAGTCTAGACCAAACAAAAGTCCGGCGACCGACGAACCGGTGGTTTGGAGGCAGTTTCCCGTCTACTAAAACAACTGGGGATCGGTGTCGCCCATCGACCGGAGCCAAAAATAAGACGTCTTTTTATGAAACCAAAAGCCTCTCTGCCCAGGGGTGAAACATTTTATGTCATCTTACGGATCAAATATAATTCCTGCGCCGTTGCTTACCTCAGCGAAACTGGGAAATGCTTGCAAAACCAGTTGACAGAGTGCATTAGGATAGTTAGGCGGTAGGCCCCCTATCTTTAGTGGCTGAACAGTCTGCAGACTCCGAATACACGTTCGCATTACAGAATGCCGAAATTGTGGTCCGATAAAAAGTTCGCGTGGCCAAGGAACTATAAAGGCCTGACATACCAGAGAAAACCTCCATTATCCTGTGCTACAGGGCTGGTGTGTGCTCGCGCTCACCTGCGATCTTATCCTGTTAACGATCTTGTGGGCTTGTGGTCGCACTCGCTTGCCCCTAGTTTGTGTTTGTTTCCGGTGGTCCTACGCTGCCGTCTGCGCTGTCGATTTTGACTTCTGGTCGGAGTTTTTTTCTGTGGTTCTGCTTCTTGCAGGCTACCGGTTGCGTCACACAACGGTTAATTGAGTAAGTTATAGTACGCCAGACTTCAAGCGTCTGCTGGCCGTTGGGTCGCTTCTTCGCCCTAGCAAATCAGCGTCTTCGAAAGCGAACGTGAGCCCAGTACCTACAGAATTGTGTGCTACCAGACAGAGTTGTTCCTGTATGCGCACCGCTCTCTCTTACTCGGTCATACGGGTCTACGGTCGCTTGCACGTTTACCCGTTATTGTTCCCTTCACAGAGACTGCACATAATCAGGAACACGATGTTGGTGGTTTCACCTCTGTACATGGGGGCCCATGGTTTCATTACCACTTTTTCGGCTGTTTCGCTGCAGTGGGTCTCAGTCCTCTTGTAGAGACTTCGTACACAGCTGTTTTTATAACACAACTGGTGGTACTTCAGGAAAGTTATGAGGTGTCCCTGTTGAGGTATTTTGGCTACCTATATATATTGGTTGTCCAGTAGGTCGCTTACGGTTTCAATGACTATGATCCGTTGAATCGAGATTAATATTGGGGTGACATCGAATGATGTCAAGATGTCATCTGCCTCGAGGTTAACCCAGTCAGTCCAAGAAATCTGTGGCTGACCGGACTGTTGTATTTGTGCCCGACGTAAGGGTGTTCAAGCGTTGGAACACCCTTTGGCCAGGTTAAATTTGGGTGTTCCACGCAATAAAACGGTCGGACGAAGAAGAGCACCATCCTTGTGAAATTGTGGCAAACCGTAGAGTCTTGCCATGGCAACTTCGTTCAGTTCCGCGCTTGTCATCGAAACATTGTCCTTAAGCACGGTACCTGTTGACTTGAGTTGCGTGTCCGACTTTTGTATCATGTTCCCTTCTGGCTTATGGTATGCTTCGTAGTCCGCAAACAATGCATTGGGCTTCTGTAGGTATTGGGCCTTACCTAGTGCAACCATAGAACGTCCTTTTTTCTTGTCAGCCTTCGGCGTCCCAAGGGTATCCTGCTCCGTTCTCGGGATAACTAGGCGACATTTGTGCTTCATGACAAGAGAGATTATTTGTGGTCGAATCAGGTTTGGTGTCTCAGCGGGCTCATGAGATTGTTAAAGATCCGATTACATGGTGTCCACTAGGTCGAAGCGGTCGGCGTCCGACGTGTTGAAACCGGAAGCGATGTGCATAACTCTAAGCTGTTCTGGCATGCGTTTTTTGGATGACAAATTATGGACCAATTGCTAGTTTTCTTCTGCGACGGAATCTAGTTTTCAAAATGTATTGATCAGCTCCCCATCTCGTGTGGACCTCAGCCAGAGAACTGAGAACTCTATCAATAGATAATGACAAATATGTCATCAACATACCAGATCCACATTCATGGTCGATAGTGTTCGAAAGCCAGTGATTCTAGTCGCTGTATTACAGCATATCTGACTTCCTGCCGGCAATTCCGTAGGCAAGTCCTACTAGTAAGGGCTGGATAGCCGCCTGGATAATCGGAAAGTGTTTGATGGATTTTGATGTGCTGCAGCATTCTTCAACAATTTCTCTGGCTATTGGTCCCTACCTAGGATTAGTATTTCGGCATTTCAAAAGGCGAAGGCGTGTTCACAGGTTGCACACTGTTTTGCCACCAACGAGAGTAAATTTCATCCTTTTAACTGCTCTTGCGTGTTCACGCATGGGGCATGTAGTCGCTTCTTGGTCTCCCAAATCTACTTCATCCTGAAGAAAATGCAGTGGAAATGACAGAAGACGTTGATATTTTTTTGAGCGTGACAGTTGGGCGTAGTTTCTTTTGTCCACACGTTTTATTGCTTACTCAGGTCTTTGGGCTACGACAAACCTACGTGGTTTTCAGAGACGACTAACTGCTTCAGGAGCCTCTTCGATATATGACATTTCCCGCCACACTTTGGGCTGTTCCATTACTCGTCTAATAGTTCATGATTGCCATCTGATGTGTTCTAGGAAAATGCAAGTTTAACAGCGGGAAGTGTACATCCACCGAGGATAATCAATTTGGTCTTTGCAATGACTTTCTATCCCTTTATAAACAGGCCGCACACAACTGCGTTTGTGGCATAGTTAATTTTTTTAGTTAATTTTATGGCTAAGTAATTGGTGTGGGTCAACTGACTTTCAGTTTGACCTCGTCTTTTGGTATTTGTGTGTCTAACGGTAGACCCGGTCGTCTGTGGATATAAATTGACTGTTAACCTCAGTCTCCATTTTTAAGTTAATGTCGGCAGACGGCAAAGTCATGGTCTCGATTGCGCGCCAAAAAAACATTTGGTCTATGGTTCGTGAAGACCAGTGTGACTAACTTTGGATTAGCACCTCAGGAAGGAAGCCAGATAGCAGTGAACCTTTTCATTCGTACGCAATGACCTCAAAACCAAAAATACGTGCTTTGGTAGAAGTTGAGCAGCCTGATGAAGTGCGCACGTGTAGGCTTATTGGCTTGCTGCTCATGCCGCCTGCCAACAGCCACAGTCGGCGAAATTAACGTGAAGAGCGAGGTAACACTAAAAAATATCATGACTGAATTTGCCACCAGGCGTAGCCCGTTTAGTCCTTCAAAGAGATAAACGGCTGTGCGTACTATTGTATCGGAGGCTGATAAGAGACAGATCAGACGCCAGAAGAGCCATTTGGTCAGATAGAATGTTGTAGAGGTACGAGGGATCAACGTGGAGCACCGTTCTTTTGCACCTTTGGCAGACATGTGGGTGATCGTAGAGAACGTTGTCTTTTAGGAATTATTCATTTTTATTGCGTACCACTGTGGAGAGACCCTTTTCTGTTGGCAGTATGATGATGCACTCGTGCGCATTCAGTCTTCTGATGATGTGCTACTCCGCCCTAAGAATCGATGTGTGTCATTTTTGCGCTAAAAGTAAATATATGTGAGCCAAATAAGCACAAGGAGGATACACAACCTACCGCGTTAAAAAAACTAATAACTTAACATGCAACTGCATTTAGTAAAACCATATAGATTTACCTGGTGCTTTGCAGCAAAATTGTAATCCTCCGTGATATCGTTAAATTAAATTAAATCAATTAAGTGCTGCGCTGCATTTAAAACTGTTCACCTAGGTTAACTAGTAGTGATTCTTGTTATAAGGAATGTTGTCATATGTCTTTGCACGTTTAACACGCAGCACATATGCTATCCCATGATAAACTGAATAATTTTCATACGTTACGCGGTGGATTATTATACATAGGCATACTTTCGGACGTCAAATCTCAGAGCACCTAGCATGTATTCAATCACTCTGGCCAATTGCCGGAAATTAGCAAGTTGCAGGCTGCAATGAATGGGCTTTTGTGTAGCGTTCGCAAGCTGACGATCATAATAAAGGTTTTCCCAGAAAATTTCTACATATTATACCTATTCGTTACATTAGTGTTTATCATAATTTTACGATTAAATAAATGTAAAGGTATTTACAAGTACCATTTTATTGTTTTTTCTCAATGGATGTCCGTAAACTGATGTACATTTTTGATCTTAACACTGCTGCCAATGCGATACAATGGAATCACACATAGCATGAAACAATTCACTTGGTATTTGAGTGCATTCACGTTCGGTAGCTTTTCTCAATTCAGACACTGCTACAATAGTCAAAATGTAATCAGAAACAATAAAATGATAAATTTAAATATTTTTTTACGTTTTTAAAATAGCAAAATTATAATAAACACGAAGTTTACAATTACTTAAAATATGTGTACATTTTGCGACACCCCGTAAATGACATATGTTTGAAAGGCAAACTACATATGAACAGTAAATATCCCTGGGAATGCTATATAGTCATATTGCCTGGTGTCTGTGACACTACATTTTACTTGTTTAAAATAGTAATACGTATGTGGAATGTTATATACGATTTTCTTTATACCCCATCCCATTTTAGTTGAAATCCTCGCGCTTGTTAAATATAGTACGTTTTTTAAAATATTGAATTGATACGTTCGCATTGCTAAGGAACGATTTGACATGAGTGGCACACCATTTACTTTGCTTGCACACTGAACACTCAAATAACTTGCATAGGCTTGCATAACTTGAATAAGATGACTACATTTGCGTGTACTCGAATGGTATATACCTATACGCCTTAGATAGATAGGGTGTTTTTGCGTGTTAAGCCGTTCCTTTGGGAGTTAAAAGCCGCCGACTTTCGGTTCCTCTATCATATTCACTAAAATGTTTTCATCAGGACGTCTTTGCTTTGTTCATGCCATTATTTTTGTGAGTAACGTTCCAATGTATATATAGTTTTATTCGTCATTATATCATTTGATGAATATCATTTTGTAAAATTTTATATTTGTAGAAAGACGCTTCGCAAGTAGATCGGGTAGGCCTTCAGTTATAATACCGAACTCATAAAGTCCAATTGCTAAGCCCTGATTCCCGTGACTGCTACACTTTGCCCACTCATTGCGCATGCAGATCAATTTTTCTCTTCAAGAATATAATATGAAATGATATATTTCATGCACAAAACATAGTTGAGTGTGAATATACTGAAAACGATCCAAATTGCTGCAGTATGTTTTACGACTAACACTGTCAAAACGGAGAATTTGCCAAAGTAAGCTTATGCGATACTTGGCAGAAATATATTTAGTAAACATTAAGAAAAACTTTCGCATCAGCCTTTAGATACACATCATGTTAAGACCGTGATCTCACAATTTCGTATTCAGTGAGTGCGTAAAAGTGCAGTGGCAGCATCTGTATTGCATGCATTTACTAAAAGAAAATGGCGACAGTTGACTACTGAAAGTCCCCTAAACTGTTTTATGAATTATATAAATATGTTAATGTGATTAAAGACATATCGCTTTATAAGGGCAGAATGCAGATGAATTCAAAACCCAACTGTTGCAATCCTGTAGAATTGTCATGCAAAATTCTGTTTGTTCTAAGATTTCCAGTGAGTGACTATTGCCAGGGTAATATGCAACTCTCCACAAGTAATTTGTCCTTATTGAGAAAACTATTGTTTGTTGAAAGAACCCTATGCAATTATTGTAGACTTGGTTTACAGGGACTCCCTATGTAAGTTTTTTTTGTTACGATACTTGATTATTATATTTGCATTGGCTGTGCACAATGTTACTTTATGTACGATACCTAGATGTATATTTTCTGCCTGAGTTGTGCTGTACAACTATCGAAAAATTGCTGAAAAGTAAAACAGTCAACCCAATGCAAACTTCGATAAATATCATTATGAATGACGGTGACAAATCCGTGAATGTCTTTAATAAGCCCTATGCCAGTTTAAGACGGAACAAAAGAAGCCTGATACACGTTTGAAGGCCATAGAGATGCAGTGTCAGACTACTGTTTTGCCTGATTGGTCGAAAAGTTAATAAGTGATGTGCATGTAAAAATTTACTTACGCTCCAACGTACGTATACAGTTCGGAATCGCTCTAGTATACATTTGCTTCGGAGCATTTATCACCCTAATAGCATTTTACAAATCGTGGGCATTCATTTTAAATTTGATATGTAACGGGCGTAGAAACAATAATTAATAGAAGTAGGCAAATGTTGAGGGGATAAATGAGGGGCCAGGCAGTTGTCACAGCATGGCAGTTCCTGTTCGTGCCTGTTCACGAAAGCCTGTGGGACCTGGTTAAAAAAGGGAGACGGGTTGGCACAGGGTAGTGGACAGTCCTAAGGGAGACGAGGAGGCGTAAGCAACAAATTAATTTTTCGATCGATACCATGGCAATGCGAGGTTGATAACATGGTCCAACTGCTTACAGTGTTCTGGTTTTCTTCTCCGTATTTCAGCGGCCTCCGCAAACTATAGGAGACGCTCGATCGGCGTCTGGAGCACGAAAGTAAATGCAGAAGCACTTATCCCTCTTACTTAAAGCTACGATCTAGGCGTATACAAAGTTCACATTTACGCTCGCGCGTGAGAATAAAGGCACACTGGCTGTCTTGGACGTGCTCAAGCACAGACGCGCAGCTTGTTTCACTAAAAGTTCCATCTATCGGAAAA